AATAATAAACAATTTCATTGTAGGTAAACGAAATAATAATTTAATACTAAGTAAGTAGTTTTTTTTTTTTCTTCCCGATTTGTAAAAAAAAAAACAAACAACTTAAATTATAGAAAAAAATGAACATTATTTTCGAAATCTGCGTAGCTGAATTATGGAAAATCCGTTATCAAAACCAAAACAACTTTTATGAAATTTAAATTTATTAAAATTCCAGGAAATGAAAGTTAAATGAGGAGGCCACATTTTCATTCACACCTTCAAATGCACTAAATGAATAACTCATTTGCGACATTATATAAAACACAATAACCTTTATAAATGTGAGCAAGAAACCAGATACTGTCTACGGTATATCTCGAACAAAATCGCGAACCAAGCAGAGTCCATTATATTATCATTTATTTAATGGAGTGCTTTGTTGGCATTAAACTCTTTTTCTCGGTACTATGCAGAACATGACGAAAATATGTAAACATTTAACTTAGTACGCAAATTGGTGGATGTGATACTGAAACATTAAAACATATATAAAAAATAATAATCCATCTAAAAGTTTTGGCGCTATAAGATGACTTGTTTTAAAGTGCTTGTGACCTTGACGTGTCTGTCTATATAAACCTACGTAATTAAACTTAATTTATATTCGTTACTTCTGGTGTTACTGTTTGCTGATAGATGAGCTAAGATTTTGTAATTTCAAGAACGTGTAACTTGATGTTAGTGACTTTTTACTCTTAACACCTCGTCATTGCATTACTTTCAACAATGAACTTTGTCCCTCATAACTATGTTATTTTATTTTGCAGCTTGCGTTACACAGGTATATATGTTTTTAATTTAAAAAGTCACATTTTTTCCAATCTTCGTCAAAGAATGAACTGAGTTTTAGCTCTACAAGGCTTAGTAATTTTGTTTCATATACACTTCTATGTAAATCTGAAATGGTGTCAGTTAAGTTAAAATGGGAAACTCAATATTTTGTGTTGGTTGTTAACGTTCCTGCTTTCACCCTAGATATAGCTTCTTTCAAACTTGTGCCTCACTTTGATCCAGTAGGCTACAAACTTATCAGAAGATGACACTAGATTAAATAAGCTAAATGTAGGTTAGAGAAAATGATCCAGTAAGCTACAAACTTATCAGAAGATGACACTAGATTAAATAAGCTAAATGTAGGTTAGAGAAAATCCTTATTTCATCTTGTGTCATCTTTTCACTAACCTAGATTTAGCTTCTCTCAGGTTGTGCCACAGTGTCATTTTTCCTCATGGCCCACTGATGCTTGAGGACTCCTGAAGAGAACGAGAAATAGAACATGCAACTAATTTCAATGCACTGCTATCGAGATATTTAGTAACACTCTGTCATCACTGGTGGCGCTACCGTTATAATTAAAGCGTGTTCACTCAGCGTTCTCTGTACTCTATTATGTAGCGGGCAGGAAACACGCAACTCTGAGGTAAATATTTAACTGGTAATGCATTAAAAAGATTTACTTTCACATATATACTAAGTAGTAGAAAATGATCCTTTATAGAGTATTTTAAAACCTACATTCACCATGTTAAATGCCTGTGGTAATAAACAAACTACAAGGAATTTAGATATATTATCATCAGTGCGAAGTGAAACAGAGAAAGAAGAGACAATTTATAGCCTACGTATAATTTTACCCCTGATTCAAGCATTGTAATACGTACATTGTTTTACAATGATTTGCCAGACACTTGTGAAACGTGAAAAAAAAACGTAATTATGAAAAATCTTTTTTATCGCAGATTGGTGGAGTATATATTTCGGATGGGGTGAGTATAATTAGACTTATTTTTCTATAAGAGCTAATATGTTAGGAAAATGATTTTATTTTAAATTTTTAGCTTGAGTTTCTCGATTCATCTCATGACAGAAAAGTACATAAAGAAAGACCAAAACAGTTATATGATGTTTAAAATAACGAAAGATAGACTAGTACAATGACATATATATATATATATAGAGAGAGAGATATAATATAAGTTAGAAAACGATAGATTATTAGATATTTATATACCTGAATGTGGAGATTTTCCTTTAGTTGTTCTTTCCCTATAAACTGGTACCAATAATACTTAAGTATTCCTGATTAGGTAATAATACAATTTTCCTAAACAAACAAACAAAAAAAAGATATCTAGCTATATGAAATACTTATTACACGCGAATTTTTAACTGACAAATGCTGTACTGTTAATCGAGAGATATAACCAGGCAGTTACGTGTGATGAAAAGCTAAACACAAATTAAAAGATTAAAAACAGCTAAAATGGGACATAAAAATACCATAACACTATGTTTCACCGCCGTTAACAGGGCATCATAAGGCATTTTTTCACAATTGACCATAACATATTAAATACATTTAATGATGAACAACATTTTGGCCTTAACATAAATACAAATCTACTTTTTGTATTTTATTTTGCTGGCGAAACGTAGTTTTTAGTGTATTTTTTCTATCACATTTTAGCTGTTTTTAATTCTTTAAAGAGGGCTACTTTCAACATTGTTTAAACAAAATTACTGAGGGCGTGATGAGATATACAAGTTCCACTGGTGACGAAGGGTATAAAAACAAGTTGGTAATTTGGGAATTAAAACATAGATATAATGGCCCTATTTTTTATCTCAGAAGTCTGTTTACATGAGCCTAAGTTTAGTTGTTGTTGGTGTTTGTTATTAAGCATAAAGTTGTACCTTCGTGGATACAATCACATGTTGTACATATACGGAGCCTTGATTAGGCCTAGGAAAGTAAACTATAGTAATTCTAATGTAAATAGACTAATTTAGGTCTGTGATAATCCAGAAAGGCCCGAAATAGTGAAATTTAAAAAAAAATCATCAAGATTTAAGCTGAGGGAGCAAGGGAAAAGGCCATAACACCTTACTTATTTGGCAGTTAGGAGATATGAACACTTTCACAGACAGCCGTAGTGTGAGTTAAGTGTTCAGTGCCGGAATCTTATTCCCTCTCCTATGATTACAAATAGTAATCGTTCCTTACAAGCATTCAGGGTTAACATTCCTTAAATAACAATATCACGAGAAACATATAACGTTCATATTCACCTATCCTTTTGGCTTAAATGTGTAAAAATGCAAAAGCAGATTGTGTTAAAATGGCGTGTCTCAAACGAGCACATTACAATGGCGTATCAAAAATGAACATGTTAAAATGGCGTGTCACAGTGTTGACTACTGAAACTAATCTACTAAAAGAACTATTACTCAGTATTAGTTATACAATAATAGGTTTTGTTCTATAAGTGTTAGTTCTAGTCTTTCATATATTATTTGGATAATGATGCTTTATGGCCACTTTCATAATTATATACGTTTTTGAAAAGGATTAGAACGTGCTTACACGCATCGTTATTGTGCTCTTGCCTGACGTTGTTCATAGTAATAGTTGGTGCTTTTTGTGGTCACGAAAAGCATTGTTATGAAGTAATCTTTCATATGACATTTTGTTTTGTGAGGTGTTAACGAAAAGCATTGTTATGAAGTAATCTTGCAAAACAAAATGCCATATTGAGGTGTTGACGAAAA